TGTCAAGGCATATCTACCTTTATGGAAAGTAGAAAAAATGTGATCAAGAAAATTGTGTGAAGGACTTAAACTCTGGCAAGGATCTATATAGTGAAGGAAGGCTGTTTCTCTTTTTATTTTGTTTTTTTTTTAAATTTTCTTTCTTTAGGTTTTTTTATTGTAAGAGCACAGTATATAATACATACAACAAACAAATATGTGTTAATCAACTGTTTGTTATTGGTAAAGCTTGGAAAGTTTGTTTTTAAACCACTCTGATTTTATACAGTTTTACAAATAGTGTGTTGCATACATGTTCAAGCACAGTGCGCGCACACACACACACACACACACACACATAGTGGCTTTCAAAAGGTTCTGTCTACAAAAAGAGCCTGACCCCAAACCCCAGCCCCAACACACTGGGGTCCAGAAAACCTAAGCATCTTCCTGGATATTTGGCTCCTTACCTGGGAGAGCACCTTCCAGGACAGACCCCTCAAAGACCGCCTGGGTGAACTCAGGCCTGTTGTCATTCTGATCTTTCACTGTGATCACAATCTCCATCGGATCCTCAATTGCATTCCCGTTGGAAGACACAGCGTGAGAGAGGAGCTGCAAGAGCCAAGGGAGGGTTACTTCAGCCCCAAGGAGAAAAGAAGTGAGAGAAGTGGCCCGACCAGAGAGCGGGCTCCACATGGTGTCCCCTCCTTCCCACTCTCTGAGACCCGAGTGCATGGACACCTGCAGCAGAGCCCTTTTCTCACACACATGCCGCTGCTCCAATGAGGTCAGCACACTGGCTGAGAGCATGACATGTGAAGACCTGAGGGCTGGAGAGCACACCCACCAGGTCAGAGCTCCCATTCCCTGCACGAAGGCTAGGCAGTCAGGCCCAGCAGATAAAGGGGGAAGCCTAACACTCTGACTTCTTCCAAGCAGGGTAAAATTAGCCCTGGCCACTCCAGTCTAGTGGCATCAATGCATTTGGCATCTATGTATTACTTCTCAGATTCACTCTGCTCACTCTGCTATCAGGCCCAGAAATAACTCTGGACATATGAGGAGCTTGGTTTTTGCTCCCCAACATCATCACTGGCCTCTTCCTTTGAATGAGGGACTTTTAGCTCCAAGAATTGGTTGATATCTTGGGTCTAAACTTATGCATGATGCATAAGGACTCTCCCCGCTTTATTCCTAACAACAAAAATAATTTAACAACCCCCATATCCAGGTTCTCCTGTCATTTCTCTTTATCAATAGGTCGCAAAGTGGCAAATTAAGCCCCTCATACATCCAGAGTCTCGAATCTAGGGATCCTAATCGGTTAACCAAACAATTTGGGAAAGATGGGACCCCATCATTAATAAGCTTCTAAGAGATACTCACTGTGTACTTGGCAATTGCTTCTCTATCCAGAGGCTGCGTCACCTTGAGCCATCCTGTCTCCCTTTCAATAATAAACACATGGATGGGGGGTGCGTCAGCTCCTTGGCCAGAGATGCTGTAGAAAACCTGTGTCTCTTTGTCTCTACTAGACTTGATCTGGAGACAAAACAGACACAGAATTAGCAAGGGAGGATCCTTACATTCGGTCTTTCTCCTTCCTCTTCTTGTTCCTTTTCTGCCAAATTCCTCCCAAGAAAATAGAGAACATCCTTTTCTACCTGAACCAAATTCTTAGGAAATGGCCCTCTGTCATTTTCTGTGCAGCTGATGGGAGGAATAACCCAGTCTCTTTTCTGTCTTTTGAAACCACGGTGGCAGACAGGAAATGTGGGCACTGCCGTCTGGGTTTCAGGCAGAGAGTCCTAAAAAGAAAAGAGATAAAAAAAACATAATGAGGGAATTAAAAGGCATCCAAATTGGAAAAGAAGAAGTAAACTTGTAATTAATTGCAGATGACATGATATTGTACATAGAACACCCTAAAGACCCCATCAAAAAACTACTAGACTTATTAAATGAATTCTGCAATGTAGCCGGATACAAAATTAACACCCAGAAATCCATAGCTTTTTTATGCACCAATAATGAACTCATAGAAAGAAAAATTTTTTAAAAAATCCCATTTACCATGGCAACAAAAATATTAAGATACCTAGGAATAAACTTAACCAAGGAGGTAAAGGGCCATTAAAATACCAACAGCATATTCCAAAGACCTAGAACAAACTCTCCAGGAATTCATCTGGAATAAAAAAAAAAGACCCCGAATTACTGCAGCAATCTTAAGAAAGAAGAACAAAGCTGGTGGGATCACAATACCAGATATCAAGCTATATCACAAAGCCATTGTCCTCATAACTACCTCGTATTGGCACAAGAACAAACATATAGACCAATGGAACGGAACAGAGAACCCAGAAATCAACCCAAGCCATTATGCTCAATTAACATTTGACAAAGGAGGCAAGAGCATACAATGGAGTCAAGACAGTCTCTTCAACAAATGCTATTGGAAAAATTGGACAGATACATGAAAAAAAATGAAACTAGACCACCAACTTACACCATACACAAAAATAATCTCAAAATGAATAAGGGACTTAAATGTAAGACAGGAAACCATACAAATCTTAGAAGAATCCATAGGCAGGAAAATAGCGGACATATGTCATAGCATTATCTTTACCAATACAGCTCCTAGGGCAATGGAAACTAAGGAGAAAGTGAACAAATGGGACTACATCAAAATAAAAAGCTTCTGCACGGCAAAAGGAACCATCAACAAAAGAACAAGAAAGCCCACCGCATGGGAGAACATATTTGCCAATGTTATATCCGATAAGGGTTTAACCTCCATGGGCAAAGGACCTAAATAGACACTTTTCGAAAGAGGGCATACAGAAGGCCAAGACATCTATGAAAACATGCTCAAAGTCACTAATCACCCGAGAGATGCAAATCAAAATGACAATGAGGTATATGCACTTTACAATAGCTAAGATTTGGAAACAGCCTAAGTGCCCATCAGCAGATGAGTGGATCAAAAAAATGTGGTACATCTACACAATGGAATACTACACTGCCTTAAAAAAGAAGAAACTCTTACTATTTGAAACAGCATGGATGGACCTGGAGAACATTATGCTAAGTGAAATAAGCCAGTTGGAGAAAGATAAATATCACATGATCTCATTCATTTGTGGAATATAATGAACAACATAAACTGATGAAAAAAAAAATAGAGCCCGAGAGAAAAATATTTTAGAATAGATGTAATCCTCTTAGTTGCAGGATTTTAATATTTTCTACAAGTTTTGTGATATTATATACTATGTTAGTACAGTTTTGGAAATATTATTATATCTAAAATCTTTTTAAAAAATATATATATATTTTCATTGATCTCAGAGAGGGAGAGGGAGAGAGAGATAGAAACATCAATGATGAGAGAGAACCATTGATCAGCTGCCTCTTGCACGCCCTCCACTGGGGATCAAGCCTGCAATCCAGGCATGTGCCATTGACCGGAACCGAATCCGGGACCCTTTAGTCCACAGGCCAAGGCTATCCACTAAGCCAAACCAGCTTGGGCTCTAAAATCTTTTCTTTTTGGCTTGAAATATTAATGTTTATTGCATGGAAAAAAATAAAATT